AAGTAACCTGAGTGGATTGGCATGTCACCTTCTGGATAAAGCCAGGAAAAGTTTTGGAGAAAACAAGGCTTGAGTTTTGCCTGCTTTTGTTACAATACTGAGCCCAGCGCTAGAGGTGGTACAAGCTGATGAGCTGCTCTATTCATTTTTTACAGATGAGCAAACTTAGCTACGGAGCAGAGACACACAGACTCCCCAGTCCTGTACTCTTACCCTCCATCTTATTTTATAGCCAGCAGTAAGGATAACTTGTACTGTGTAGCATTAATTTGTAACAGAACCTTTCCTAGAACACTGCAGAATGGTAATGCGTCTGCCTAGTAGCCACACGGGCACTCTGTAGCAGAGAGTGCATTCATAATGTTGGTTATTCTACTCACATAGCAAGAATTGTATTCTTAACACTGAGTGAAACACAGCAGGCATTTGTGCAAACCAAAGCCTTCTGAAAGCTCCTGTGTAACAGGCTTGGTTTGAAAGGGTTGCAGCTCTTAAAGACAAAGAGATAAGAAACTTGTGTGCAAGTCACCTGGTGCGGTAGTGCACTACTGTGCTTTCAGGTCTGACTAGTTCATTCAAGAGGCATTGGCCCTGTGCATCCACCAAAGAGACATGAGTGACTTCGTTCCCTTTTGCAGTCAGGCACTGTCAGGAAGAAGCAGAGGCAGTTGTTGACTCAGCATGATGCTGCCACTCAAAAACCTTAGCTAACATCTGATTTGGCTGCAGCCAGCATCAATACTAAGGAGTTACTCAACTTGGAGACCTACCACTCACGGCTAGTTGTTTTATGCTATAACATGCTTCATTTTAATTGCCCACCATAAGCACAGCAAACACCCAGGGAAGCACAACACAAAGAAAACCATTATAAAGAAGCGCTGATTTCGCTCTCCACTGCAGAGCTGTCACTGAGAGCATCTTCACCAGAGAAGATGCACAATTTAAAAGCAGAGTCCAGGTAGTATCATTAGTTACGCAACGCTGATGCCAAACAGGCATCTCTGCAAGGTCAAAACTGCACTAAGAGAGGAATCTTCACCACAGCATGCTGCCAGAAGAACTGTGATGGCTAAAGGAAAGATGTGTGTTAGGGAAATACTTTCCCTCTCCTAAACCTTGGGGAGGGCCAGGAGGAGGAATTCCACAGCAGTCTCAGGGATTACAGCAGCGTTGTTGATGGGCCTGGCAGATCCAGCTCCTGCTCGGACAGCCAACACACAACTGAGCTCTCTGCTGCACTGCTCAAGATAACATTTCTGTCTTGTCACCAGAACCACTTCCCGAATCTTTCCCATGGCTGCATTTAGCACTGGTACCATCAAGGGACTGGCAGCACATATTAATGTATCGAAGTGGTTTAGCAAATACACAAGGTGCTTGGCTTTGGAATAGCTGGTAGGAGTTTGGTTGCTTGACTATATTTTGTAAGGCCAGACATTTATTTTTACCATTTCACAATCCAGACCAAAGAGGGGGCTCCTGTCCGTCCTCTGCTGATCACACTCTGTATATATATAGCCCTTGCATTTAGGGGAACCTAGAATGAAAAGATACCCACGAATAAGAAACGGACCTCTTGCTTCTAAAACTCATCATATATCTTATATGACGAAACGTATCACTAACTGCGAAAATTAAAAAAAACCAAAACAACAAAAAACAAAACACAATGAAACAACCAAACAAATGCCCTCAAAAACTGACCTTTTGTGGGATAGTCATTTCTTTTCTGCTCTGCTACTGTTAGAGTATAGCTAGTAAGGCCTTGTTTTTTTTCTCCATATTTCTGAATGATGGGATCACATTTCAAGTTTGAGCTTTTAGGAATACATTCATTGCTAGCAGAAGTCAAACCTGTAAAATACAGAAGCATCTGTCAAGCTCAGATAACTGACTGCAAGTAGGGAGTGCTTTCTGCATTAGTATGCACACTTAGAGATGACACCAATTCAAAGGGAAACAGTACCTGGAACAATAAACTGGAGATAGAGAGACTGATAGATAGATAGATAAATAGATAGATAGATAGATAATCTCCAGTTTATATTTCATTTATTGCTTGTATACATATTCAAACACTATATAAACCACATACACCTAATTATATATATGCAATGCTATATATAGTGTATATACTACATATATAATATGATTGATATTCAGGATACTTGAATATTACTCCCAGTCCAGCTACTGACACTGCTGGCTGATTCAGAAGCAAGGCATATCACAAGTCTCTGTCTCACATTCCTTTCAGAAATAGAGAGAACAAACTTGCCTCGTAAGCATGACAACATAATCATCTGTTACTTCACGTAAGCTGTAAAAGTTGTTCTCTTTTCTGCCTTCTCTGTGGAATTCTTTCCTGTAACTATTATCAGGAGAAAATGTGGTCTAAGTGTGGCTCACAAAGAAGCAAGCTCTGAACTGACATCAGAATCCACAACTGTATGAAGTTAAATTATCCTGTAGGTGATGCTCTGCAGATTACACTTAAAAGAAAATATACCTGACATCTCAGATCTGTGGCTGTGCAGTGGGTTTACAGTCATGATGCTAGAGGGCTTTGTCAATACACTGAAAGTAACAACTGTTCATTCTCCCATTTAGGACTCAAATTCAAGATTCTTTGTTACACTTCAACAATTTCAGTGAAGTTGAAGTCTCTTGCAGGTTTTGTACATGCCTGCTGGATTACAATCACTTCTATAAAGAGTATAAAAATAGGAAATCTGTTGTCAACACACCTGTTCTTTACCTTGATTTGCTGCTCGGTATAACAAAGAAAACCAAGAAGAAATGAGTAACTACTTAGCTTGAATCTAATTTATATTTCTGCATCTTTTATTAGATACATCTTAGAATAAAATAATCACAAAATGAGTAACAACTCAGAATTCTGGATTAAACGTGTTAAAAACTTTCTGCTTTTTGCATTTACTTGTGATTACAAGCCCAACGGAGAGTTACTGAACCAGTTAGGGTAACTAGTCTCATGGTTTAAGCCATTGTACGTTTTCCTTTGTAAACAAGTTTACCATAGTAGCACGCTAGGATTGCACAGGATGCAAAGTCATAAATTAATGTTGAAAGTTAATCTCTGTGGTTGAAAGAAACGATGCAAAACCAAGCAAGATACCTTGTGCAGTGTTTTGAGGCTTCAGGTTTGCTCCTTCTCCATACAGGCTGGCGAGGAAGTTGGCAGAAGGTGTTAATGTGAATCTCTGAAAAAAAGAGATGTGTTACAGACTTTGAAACAGAGGCAGAAGTATCAAGCAAATGAGATGTCTCTTGATCCCTAAACCAGCCAAATTTAGAGGAGGATGGATAGAGAAGTAGTGGAAATGTGGTGTCTTCCCAAGGAAGAATAAAAACCCAACACAAACCAAACCTGTTTTAATGACAGACAATATAGAATTCTTTGTACGACGGGACAGATTTGCCTTGCCTGGTACAATCAAGAAGGCAAATCGTAAGATTTTCCTTGATAGAAACTAAAGCAAGTTCCAGTGTTTCCAGTTACGTTGTGATTTGCATTTGCTGCAGTTCAGGGATAATTCTCTGTCTAAATCAAAGTGCTTCTTTCTTTCTTCCTTCGAAAACGTTGCTTGTAACTCAGAAAATTAAAATAATTCTTTTAATAATCTTTTGGGGAAATGGGAGAAACTTGACAGAAAGTGCAAATAGTAAAAGTGAGATTTTTCAACCAGTGGGAATAGCATAATTTTTGAGAGTCTCCTCACTTACTCAAAGTATATTCCAGATTAACGGAGATATGTTTAATCTCACTGGCATCCTGAAGGTGCAGGAAGCGTAACAGTCAGAGGACTGAAACATCAATACATGTTTCACCTGGTAAGGCTTCAAAGACATAAGTCTTAAAAACCTGTTTCTAATATCAAAGCCTTAGCCTTTGGTCTGAGCTGACAAAGGCTACAAATAGATCCTCTCATTAGTTTGCTCTGAGAGTCAAAGACGGCCACTTCCTATTGGAAAAGGCAGTAATTTCACTGCAGTGATTAACCCCTGTGACATAGTGTCAGGACTGAAATAAATTTAGAATACCGCAATACAGTTAGAGGACTTACATGCCGGAACACTCTTCTGAGATGTTTGAACTGCAAATAGAATTTGTAGAAATGGAGTTGGCTCATTTCATGTAGAACAATAACCACAACCCCAGCCAGGTGGCTTTGGTGATAAATACGGCACCAGCTGCAGTTAAAAAAAAAAAAAAAAGAAAAAAGAAAAAATCAAAGCAAAACAATTATCAAGCACTCTTAAAAACAAACTTGGAACCAGCCCAGCTTTTAAGTCAGTGAATGGCAAAGTGCCAAATGACTTCAATGAGAAAAGGCTTTATAGCTTATCTCAAACAGCCATATATTCCTGAAAGCAACATAATATGGGAGACAGAGAAAGAATGAGTTATACCAAAATTCTGCTGCAGTACCATTTCAAGACATTTATACCTCATTTATATGCATCAGAACGAGTAACTTCAGTTGTAGTGATGCAGTCTAGTGAATTAATGCATCGAAAAAAGTTTCACAAAATCACTTGCTATTCACTACTAAGAATCTAAAGTAGGATCATTTTTGTCTTGAGTTTCATTGCAAGATTCATTACATTTCACCATATTTTTGCCGCCTGAGGTTATATACCCTCCTCAGCCTTTCCCTTCCATTGCTGAGAAGTTGCCCTGAAAAAGGGCAAACACTCTATAACACTGTTTCAATTATACCTGACATGAAACCTGTTAATATTTTTTGTGTTGTGTTAATACTTTTAACATGGTGTTTTGTTTCTCAGCGTGTGAAGCTTCTTCTGTTTCATAAAATTGTTTAGTTTTTGATAACTGCATGAAAAAAAAACTATGAAATGGTAGAATTTTTGTCAGAAGAGGAATTCTGGTCTCTGGCCAAGTCTAACAACAACTGTATCCACGTAATACAGGCTGTCATTACGGTAACTGTGTTGCAGATTCCAAAACCAGCATGGCCAATATGCCTTTAGGTAGGTTTTCACAACACATGAGGACACGAGACAGGGTTGATTCCCAAATATGAATGTGTTATACCTGGGCTGTGTTGCGTTGTGGCATTTTCCCAAAGCTGCATACTTTAACAACTCATACAGCTGGTCACGGCTGATTTCGCAGTCCTCGCCAAATAAAGCTGCTGACAAGCAAGATGACTTTTCCTGTGAAAAGGGAAACGTTAGTAAAGAAAGATTTTATGTAATCACACAAGTTGATGGAAAATAAAGTGAATTATACAGTAAAAGGAAACTATTTACTATTTGGATACAATCAACTAAATTTAAAATAACTCTTCCAGTCATTACGGGCACAAGTTTCCTTTCAGATCACACTTCAATATTAAATTTACTATCAATTATTTCAGTAATGCAGATACTCTAACTTCAAAGATTTATTTAATACAAGATTAATGTAAGCAGATGCATGTAGTAAGGAGACTTAAAGTTATGTGATTTGCAAACATGATGTTCTGCTATCTCAACTAATTCACCCACTTGTTGCTGTAGCGCTTTGGACATTTATAGTGTTCTATGTACCCACTTCATGCAAGGTTTTGCTGTAACCCATTTACTTCATTTACATTATGTGATCTGTTTTGGCAGATGGGTTTGCTGACCCCTGCAGGAAAAAAAAATACGTTTCATCCAAGGAAACTGCAGAAGAGAGCACATGGAGTGAAGACTGTACCACACCATTTAACACAACAGTTCTTTAAGCCTAAATGTACAAATCCTTCTTAAAGCTAATCAGCAAGAAAACGCATGATTTTGGAGACCTCCACTGACCATATGGCCTGTTCCAATGGAGCTCCTTTGATCTGTAAAAATTTTAAAGATACTCTTTTTTTACGTGATGAAAAGACATCACAGCATGCAGGTGAAAAAAGACCATAGGACACTACAGAATACCAAATCCCACAGCATAAACAGGATGTCCCTGCTCATCGCAGGGGGGTTAGACTACATGACCTTTAAAGGTCTCTTCCAACCCAAACTGTTCCATGAGTCTGTGAAAAAAATACCAGAAGCTGTGTTTTCCCCACCACGCTAACAAGCCTTGGGCTCATTAATTTTGACAGAGCCTACCCACATGAGGTTGAGCTGGTGCACTTCTAAAACCATTTGTCATTGGGTAAGAAAGCTAAACAGAGGTGACAACCTTTGAGGTTCAAGTGGTTAAGAATCATCTGATAATAATAACACAGGGTGGTGTAATTGCTAGTTCTTCATCTATCATGCTAAGTTAGACAAGTAACTAATCACACCGTTGTTTTCAATACAGCCTAATTAGAACTTTGCAAAAAAAAAAAAACACCAACCAAACAGCAGGAGTTTCATCTCACCAAGCAAAGGCTACCTGCCAAGCACAGGAATTTCAGGCTCTGAGCGGGTACAAATAAGCCGGACCTGACAGGTACTCTTGACCCGTACGGGGCACTGAGTAAGTCATAACCCGGGTGACCATGGCGTTACCATGAGGATGAAACTTTGGGTTCATTTGCATCCTTCGGGTGTGAATGTGCTGAGCAGACACGTGCTCCTTTCAAGATCTACTTTGTTTGGGAAAAAAACGATATTAGAGATTTCATTCATGTTTTAAAAAAACTCCTTAAACGTAAACGCTTAACGCTCCGAATGAGTTAGTCTCCACACTTCTGGGAGCAGAAACTAAGCCATTATCTGTAGGTAACACCTTGAGGCAGCCCTCCAGCTGGGCTGCCAGTAAAACACGTTTCTGCCGAGCTCCCAGCACCCCAGCGTGCGATGCGATGCACCTCAACAAGGGGCTCTAAGAGGGAACGGCCGCACCCCCGCGGGCCCGCGGCGCCTCCCTCACAGCGCCCGGGCGGCTCTGCTGCTCACCTCAGG